TACTCAGATCGATGAAATGATTTCGTGAATTGGACTACGCATACATGCTTTTAATTTATAAGGTAATTTTATGTTTTTATACTCTTGCTACCACATGAATACATGAATTCGTGATAAGATTATATGCATTCGCCTTGGAAGATAGAAAGCGAGTAAGAATAAATTAATAATATGGAATTTGTCTTCTTTCAACTTAAATAAATGCCTTTTGCAAACAAAAGTGCGTACGTTACTTAGTGCCTTGGTAATAACGAATTCGTAAGGATCTATTGATTGCATTATAAACATTTTCATTTATTTGTTAAACATACAATTACTTCCATTACAACCCGGTCCTATGGATGCTAGAAGCGCGAATTCATATAATGTGGGATTCCACCAAATTCCGTTGGCTTGTGCATACGTATTTGATTAAGCGGTCACGTTTAAGCGATAGTTTATTAACTTAAATCAGATATAAAAAAGTGCAATTACACAAAACTAAATAAACAAACATATACTGTTTAAAAACTAAATAAAACTTCTATTAAGTTTATTATTACAAAGTGAAGTTTAATAAAAAAAAAAAAAAACTACTACAAGTGATATTAACACTTTAATTAATGAGTGACCAAGGCTCACCTTTAGAGCAAGGTCACTCTCTGCAGAGAACAGCAGATATTTTTTATCAGCGAAATGCTCTTAATAGCCAATATTCAGCTGTAGATAAAAGCTCAAATGCATTGTTACAACAAAACGCATCAATAATGACAACATATGAAGAGCGGAATGCTCTCTCTGATATTGATGACTTAGACATGAACAACGAAAGTGATAATAAAGTGGAATGGCAAACTGTGACAAATAAACGTCGCCAGCTAAGTTCTCCCACTGGTAATCACAAGCGTTCGAAGCTAAACAGTAATTTGAACTTAATAGACACTACTAGTGCTAGTACGAAGACAAGCAACAATAACAATGGTAGCAGCGCAAACAGGTTTTCCAGCCTACATGATGATTGTGACAATGATAACGTAGCAGAAAAATCAATGAAGAGGCGACAACAAAACCACCACCAATTATCATACCAAATATTTCTGACATCAGCGGCATGATTAAGTATATTGTAAGCATTATTGAAAAATCAGAATTTAGTTATAAGGCTTTGCGGGATGGTCAAATTAGGGTAATGGTCAAGTCAATAGATTCATATAGAACGTTGATAAGTGATATGAAAGGAAAAAAATTAATTTCCATACTTATCAACTGAAGCAAGAGCGTGCCTATAGGATTGTTGTAAAAAATTTACACTACTCTACTCCGGTAGATGCAATCAAGCAAGAAATAGAAAGTTTGGGGTTTCAAGTCAGGAATGTCAGCAATATTAGAAGTAAATTTACAAATATGCCCTTATGTATGCACTTTGTTGACCTCGAAGCAAACAACAAAAACAAAAATATCTTTGATATAAAATTTTTAGGTAATGCCGTAGTTAAGGTTGATCCTCCGAAGAAGGTAAGTGACATCGTTCAATGCCATCGGTGCCAAGAGTTTGGACACACGAAATCTTATTGTACAAAGTCCTACAGGTGCGTGAAATGTGGACTTGATCACGCAACTGCTGAATGCGTAAAAAGCAAAGACACACCTGCGAGATGTTTTAATTGTTTGCAAAATCACCCAGCGAACTATAAGGGATGTAAAGTGTACCAAAACCTTGTGAAAAAACCAAATATGCCAGACAAAAGACACACAGTTCCCACATACTCTTATACTCCTCAAAACTTCCCTCAATTAAATAATACTCCAGTTTTCGAAAACCAATTTGTCAATCCAAATGTTACTTATGCACAACGCGTTCATAGTAATGCAGGCCAAGAAAACAATGTACTTCAAAAAATTGAAACATTACTTGCCAAACAACTTGAGCTTACTCAAAGTTTGTTTAATATAATGTCCACTTTATTAGAAAAATTATGCAAATAAATCTTCGTATAGCTATTTGGAACGCCAATGGACTCAATAACCACACCGAGGAAGTAAAAATGTTCCTTAATTTAAATCAAATTGATATTTTATTGGTGTCAGAAACCCATTTTAATAACAAAACTTATTTTAAAATTATCGGTTACGATCTCATTTGTGCTAACCAACCAGACAACAAAGCCCATGGGGGATCTGCAATTTTGATTAAATCCGGTCTTAAATACGAAGGTTTAGAAGAAATCAGAGAGAATTATTTACAAGCTGCTGGGGTTAAAGTAAAATGTGACGATCAATATCTACGAATTTACGCAGTATATTTTCCTCCACGTTTTAGCATAAAAACTGACCAATACGTTGAAATTTTTAAACGTTTCGGTTCTAAATTTTTTGTAGACGGAGACTTCAATGCAAAACACCCATGGTGGGGCTCTAGGCTCATTAACCCGAAAGGAAGAGAGCTGCAAAGATGCATCTCCCAAAAAAACTATACAATTTTGTCAACAGGCACACCGACATATTGGCCAAGCGATCCAAGAAAAGTTCCGGATCTCCTAGATTTTGTCGTATACTCTGGTATACCCAGCCGAAGGCTGAGCATACAGCATAGTAACGAGCTTAGCTCCGACCATTCGCCTCTAATTGTAACGTACAATGACAATGTCCACAATGTTTCTAAGAAGTATAAGATCCTTACCCCAAAAACTGACCTAAAATCTTTTCAATATTGGATAGATAAACATATCGATTTAACCCTTATCCTGTGTTCATAAAAAGAAACGTACGTGACGCTAACGGGTCAATATTGCCCAATATGTGAAAGAAAATATTTTGATTATAATTCAAGTTTGTAAAGTATTTTTTTTATTCAACAAATATAAAATTAATTCATGAAAGTACAAAATTAAGAATTCTTAGCTTTGGTTTAAACAACTAATGCATCTGATCGATGTCTCAGAATGAACTTTGCAAATGAATTTTTTGCAGCTAACGCATTTATTGCTATATTTTGTGCTGTTGGATCGATTTGGACAAATGAAGCAACGTCCACGTTTCAAATTTGTAGGTTTTTGAATTGTTTCAGCAGTTTCTGCGTTATTTTGGTAGTTTGTTACGACGGTTTTGGCTAGACTGCTTCGCGGGAGTGTAGTTCTGCGCGATATTTCCTGAGAAACAAGTTCATTTCCGAGCTCTTCTAGGAATATACGACGTTTAAATTTTTTATTTTTATTCCATTCAGGGTTTATTTCCCTAAAAATTATAAAAGCATTGTATGCGCTTATATCCAGCATATTGTAAAACAAAGACTGTGGCCATCGATTTGTTCTCCGCTTGCAAGTGTATGTCCTGATAACTTGGTCTAGTGTATCAACCCCTGACTTAGTTTTATTGTAAAAGTCTATGATTTCAGGCTTTTTTGTGTTGGCATTGATTTCAACATTATTGTGAAGTGTACTGAGTAAATATACTGCTCGATTCTTTTTAGGCACATACCCAACGATTGTGGTTTTGTTGATGTTATCAAAAAAGAAGTGTGCGTAATTTTCCGGTTTCTTTTTCAACTTTGTAATTTCTGCAGGCAAGAACGTTTTGTTCTTTCGGACCGTACCAACTAGGGTTATTTTACGTTTCAATAGTTCAATCCCCAACTCGTGAGATGTAAAAAAATTGTCGCATGTGACGTTGCGACCTTGCATATCTTTTACCAGATCGAGTACAACACGACGTCCTTGTTCTTTTTCAGGTTTACAGTTTCGATCTTTGCCTGTATATACCTGCAACGACCATGCAAAACTAGTTTGGCTGTCGCACAGTACCCAGATTTTAATACCGTATTTTCCAGGTTTCGATGGAATATATTGCTTGAAAGGGCAACGTCCGCGAAACGTGACCAATTGTTCATCGACTGTTGTGCATTCTCCAGGATTGTACATTTTTTTTATATTACCTTCCCAGTGATTCCAAACATCTCTGATTGGAGCCAACTTATCGCGAGATCGCCTCTCATTTCGGTCAGATTTATTGTCGAACCTCAGAACTCGGGAGATATTTTGAAATCTGCGCAGACTCATTGTCGATTTGAAAATCGGACGGCCTTTACGATCATCCCACAAACATTCGAGTGCTTCGCCATGTGATCGAAATACACCAGCTAAGAGCAAAAGCCCAAAATATGCTTCCAAAGTAATGCTATCTACTTCGACCCAATTATGACCAAACACGGATTGACCTGAAAGCAATACTCAGATATTGTCATATATATATACATATATATATATATATCAATTACCTTCTATATTAGTCATTTCAATAACTATCTTCACAATGTCGGGCGGCATGAATAAGAGAAATGATGATTTTATATCATCGGTCCTAGCAATAGCGTATCGTGTAGTACCGGGCGCGGTGTTAATAACGTTTTCTTTAGCACGTCTGCCAGCTCCGCTTAAAACTGGTTTATTAGACCACATATATTTACCATTTTTTGATGGAAAAACTCCTGAAACGTCTTGCTGACGGGCAGAAACTTCCTCTTCTTCATCTGTGCCTTCAGATAAATTCGGGTCATAAACGGATCCAACTTCGGAAATCTCATCTTCTTCATCCTCGCTGACGCTATCGTTTGGTATTTCATCATCCAAATCAGAATTTTCTAAAATGGCTTCAATTTCCTCTCTATTCATATTGGCCCATAAAAAACACACAACCGCACTAAAAAACTCTTTATGAATTCGCAAAATAATATCAACTTCACTTTTCTAAAATGACTTCAATTACAAATTACAAATTCAAAGAATACACAACCGGACAGTTCAAAATTTTTTTACGAATGAGTGAAAGATTGTCAACTTCACATCAGTATTCGCGAAAACTGTTAACGGTAACTTGCGGCAGGAATAAACATGAACTCTTCACACTTCTGTTCATATACATACATACATACATATAAAGCAACCGACTTTTGACTTGCTATTGCTGGTAATTTGCACGAACGTGCACTAAGAATTAAATATGTAGCTAGGCACATACTCGTTATCCTATTGGGCAATTTTGACCCACAAATACAGTATACGTAACTATTTTTGCATAGCGCTTCCAATGAAAGATAAATCACAAAATAAATGTTTTTCAAGTTTAGTTTTATTAAATAATAAAAGTAAAAAAGTTTCATCAGATTATATGAAGCCTATAAAAAAATATTCACTTTTAAAAGTCGTTTGGGCAATTTTGACCCATGAATACAGGATAAGTGTTAAACATGTCAATAGAAACAGGAGTCGAACTCGATGCAGCAATAGAAGCATTCACTAATGTTATTCATGAGGCAGCGTATTTGTCCAGCCCCTTGAGAGAGAAACTCCCTTCTAATGACCATGTACAAGTCCCTCCTGAAATACTACTTCTAATTAATAAAAAAAGAAGATTACGAAAAATCTGGCAGGAAAACAGATACCCCGCTAATAAAAGAGCACTGAATAAAGCTACGAAAGAACTCAAAACAAAACTATCTGATCTCAGAAATCAATCGTTTAGTTCTTTCATCAAAACACTTGAACCTACAAAAAACGATGAACACAAAATCTGGAGGGCTACTAAATATATAAAGCGGCCGATCAAGCGTAATGTCAGCATTAGGGATTCTAATGGGGTATGGTGCAGAAGCGATGAAAGTAAAACAGAGGCTTTTGCCAAACACCTCTTATCAAATTTTTCAGCCAAATCTTCCAATTGCCGCCAATGACGATGCGGAGTTTACAAATTTTCTTGAATCCCCATGTCAAATGGATTCTCCGATCAGCCGGATATCAAATAGTGAAGTATCTGAAGAAATACTTAGACCAAATAACTGCAAGGCTCCTGGATATGACTGCATTGATAGCAAAGTAGTTAAAGCTCTACCTGAGAAAGCTATTGAATTCCTTACAATAATCTACAATGCCATTCTCAATGTAAATCACTACCCAACACAATGGAAATGTGCTGTTGTTGTTATGGTGCCAAAACCAAATAAACCCGAAAACCTTCTTAAGTCTTACCGCCCCATTAGTTTGCTTGTAACGTTCTCGAAAATATTCGAACGAATATTTTTGAAGAGAATGTTACCAGTAGTAGAGGACCACAACATCATTCCCGAACATCAGTTTGGGTTCAGGGTAAGACATGGCACACCAGAACAATGCCACAGGGTTGTAAATGTAATTAGGGATGCGCTAGAAAGGAAGCAATACTGTTCTGCAGCTTTTTTTTAGATGATCAACAGGCATTCGAGTATGGAATGTGGGACTTCTATACAAAATTAAAAAACTCTTGCCAGCACATTTCTATTTGATCCTTAAATCCTATCTGAGTGAAAGGCACTTTTATGTTAGACACCGAGATGCGTCTTCAGAAATATACAATATTAGCGCTGGTGTGCCCCAGGGTAGTGTGTTGGGCCCCGTCCTATACACAATATTTACTTCCGACATGCCAATAACAGAAGAAGTGGAAGTGGCTACTTACGCTGACGATACAGCCTTCATAGCTTCTAGCGATTCACCTGCAAAAGCATCCTCTTTGCTGCAAAACCAACTAAATATTTTAGAAATTTGGCGTTAAGAAAAGATAACTGCCCTAGAATATTTTTAAATAATGCTGTAATACCAACGAATACCAAGGTGACATATTTAGGAATGCATTTAGATCGACGCCTTACTTGGAAATCCCATATTAAGGCCAAACAAGAGCAGCTTAAAAATAAAACCAAGCGAATGCACTGGCTGCTTGGTCGCAAATCTCAGCTTAGTTTAGAAAACAAAATAAGACTATATACAGCTATTTTAAAGCCTGTATGGACCTACGGTATACAGCTTTGGGGAACTGCTAGCAAATCGAATATAGAAATCCTGCAACGCTACCAATCAAAACCTTTGCGTGCTCTTGTTAACGCCCCTTGGTTTGTCACAAATGAAGCAATACACAAGGACTTAGATATCCCATTTGTAAAGAGTGAAATTCCAAACTTTTCTACAGATATCTTGCACGGCTGTCAAACCATGTAAATACGAATGCTATATGCTTATTAGACTCAAGTAATGAAACAATACGACTGAAGCGTAATCATATCTTAGACTTGCCATTTCTCTAATTTTGCTGAATTAAATTATTTATTTAACACTAAATAAAAAAACAAAATACATAAGTTCCTATATGAAGATAAGCAACTCATTAGTACAAATGAAATTTAATACATTTAAGATATAAGATTTGAACAAATATGGTAATTTTATATGTAGTTTTGCATTTGTGCAAATACTACCGCTGCTATTAGATTATAAGACCTAATTTGCTGAATATCATTGTATTAAGATAGATTGCAAATAAAATATTTACACAAAAAAAAAAATATAATGTGGTGTTACCGGAAAATCTATATATATAAAAATGAATGTTTGACTGTATGTCCTTTATAGGCGTCAAAAGTACCCAATCGATTTTAATGACATTTTTACAGATTTTTAGCATATATGATCCATGTTTTCCGAGAAGTGGACCAGGGACCGATCTATTCGAAGAAATC